TAGATGGAAAAATTGTATTATACCTGTGTAGTTGAGAAATATTGAATTGGGCGAAAAGGCCCGTGGATGTTGATTTGGACGAGATGGCCTATGAATGTCAATTTGGGCTTGATAACCCGTGGAATGGGAGGAATGTTTGGTTGGGCAAAAAGAGCCCATGGATTTGGGCCAAAAAAGGCCTAAGGATGTGTGATTGGGCAAAGTGGCCCGTGAACAATGAATTGGCGAAATAACCCCTGAAATGTGAAGGAATGGATGAGTGGGCACAAGGACCCAATGTTTTCGGGGAGAAGCTCCACATGTGGGTTCTGATAATGAATTATTGAAGGGATAAAAAAAATGTGTGATGTGTATTGACCAGGTATATTACAATATTTTCCAGCCTACTAGTCATTGATTGAGATAAAAAGAAAATAGTGGTGAAATCATTGTTTTGACGATGATAAGTATGGCTAGAAAATTTCAAATCTTTTGGTCAATGAAAATTGTGGTTGGAAATTTTAGTACTTACTAAAGTCATGATGATTTATCAAATGAGAATAAAATTATAAACTGTGGTTATGGTTGAGTATGATATTTGGAATGGTGAAAATATCATATGGATTTCTTCATTTATTATTGCTGAACATGAATGAAAATATGGAATGAGATTTTGGGTTCGTTTAATATAAATGTTTTCCCAGTAGAGTTTTTGCGTTGATGAAAAGAATAGTTGGGAAAAGTTATAATTGCAAATTTGATTGGTTTGGTTACCATAGTTGGGTGGTTATTGTTGAATTTGATATTACGAACAAAATTGATGACAAGCACATATTCTCATGGTTGTGTGGTTAATAAGGTTTAGTTGTTGGCCAATGGAGTTGTAATATATTAAAATTTTTCTCCTTTGGTTGATGGAATGTGAATATTACTCTAGATGTCCGAGTCACTTATTTACTCGATATGTGACTGCATTTTTAAGTAATTTAAAAGAGAAACAATTGAAAGAAAGATTTAGTTAAAAAAAAAAAAAGGGGGGGGGGAGAGAGAGAGAGAGAGAGAAGAAGAAGAAGAAGAAGGTTTCTAAATTTACTATGGGTAATTTAGTTTAACTGTGAAAATGAAGGAAATCATAGAATGAGGCTTTATGTTGGTGGTGTTGCGAACTTGGTTTTAAATTTCTTTCCTTTACCCAGTGAGTGTGATTAGAAACTCCACTGATTTTGGGTTGGAAATTTTGATATTTAATTTGCCAATTATAATGTCTTGGGTTGGAAATTTTGATATTTACTTAGCCACTAATGATTATGGCTTGCATTTCTAGTATCTCTTTGGCTGATGATGGTTATGACTGAAGTTTATGATCATTGTTTTGAGGGTGATGCATATGGAAACAAAAAAAAAATTTATGACGTATAGTATTGCCAATGATTGTGATTATTATGCTAGTATTTATTTTAGGTCATGAAAAGTATGGCTTGATGAGGATATTTATTCTGCCAATGAATGTGGCTGGGAATCTGAAACCGTGGGTAATAATCACGATCGTTATTCGTTGATTTACTTATTTTCAAAGCTTGAATAAAATCATAGACTAAGATTATGATTTTATTCACCATAAAAGAAATGGTGGAAATAGTTCTAATTTCTTTTCGTAACTCGATGGTTGAAATCTCAAGGATGAGATTTATTTTAACGGGGGATGAATGTAATACCTTGAAAATTTAAATATATGAAAATGTAGAGAAAAATCGAAAATAAATCGATTTATGGATATGAAAAATTGAATTGAGAACTTTTAAAGTTTTGTTTCCGGAAATTATTATAAATTATGTTGTGAAATTTATTATTAAGTTTAAAAGATTAACGTAATTATACAAGGACGTATTTTATCCTCATATATTCCGGACTATTTCTTGGCATTTTTGGATAAAGCTCAATCTCAAGAGTGTATAGGTGAAAACTGTTCGCCAAACGGAGTTATAACGAATGAAATAGGAACGAACGAAGATAGGGGCAAAATAGTCATTTCCTTATAACTTTTGGAAGTCTCCATAATTATAGGAGCCTTATCTTGAATAATAAGAATAAAAATATAAATAAAAAAAAAAGGAAAAGAAAGAAAGGGCGAAAGCCACGAGAGTGGCTGAGAGAAGGGGAGGAACAATGAGAGAGGAAGGAAGAAAGGGGGTGACCAGTGGGGCAAGGAGAGAAGAATAATGAACAAATGGGGATGAGAAACAAGGAGGGGAAAGGAGGGAGGTGAGAAGGAAGGGAAACTGGTCCCTTCCCTTCCACCCGTTTGTTCTTCGTGACCCGGTTAGGATCCGGCCTCCCAGTGTGATTTTTTGATGGTGTTGCGCCATTTCTCTGGTGAATTAGTACACCCTATCACCTGCATCCATCATCATGACTCTTCTTCTTCATTGTCCACCCATGGAACGATGGAAAATTGGCCTTGAAATTACAAAAACCCGCAAGATGGGTGCGGTGGGTTCGTGGTGGCAATACACCAAATTTGAAGGTAATTCCGACCACCACCACTACCAAAGGACTCCTAGTGAACCCAAGAACATGTCCCAAGCCTTGGTTGGGGTGGCAGAGCACCGGTGGCGACAGATTGAACCACCAAAATTCTAAGGTTTTCGGCGGGTTTGAGTGAAATTGGGGCTTTTCCCGGCTGAGTTAGACTTCGGCCCAGGTATAAAAATTGTTCCCCTTAACTTCCTCTACATTTCTGTAAAATTTGGAAATTTTTAGAAATTGTGAAATTTTCTGACGAGTCGAGGCGTCTGATCGCCACCTACGGCGGCTCGTGGTCAGTGAGCAGACATTGCGTTTTTATGCAAATTTCGTTATTCAAATTATTTTTTTGGTATCTATTTGACGTGTTTTGATTATTAACACAAATGTTGGATATTTTGATTAATTGAATATTTTTCGAAATTGGTTTGGTTATTGAATTGTGAACTATGAAAGGCTTGATTTTGCTCAAGGGTATGTAGGCAGTCTAACAGAGTTAGATGCAGCCTTAATTACTCGAAAATTAATCTTTTGTTGAGAAGTGGTTTTAATAGAAGAAATTGAGGATAAAATTGTTAAGTGAATAGTATGTTTTAGAAGTTTTAAAATATGGTTATAGAAATATGAGGAATTAAGGAATTTAGATAAAGAATCGCGATTAATGGTAGTTAAAGAAATAAGAGTTTAATTTGGCCTATCAACGAATTTATTTTCCGAAAAAAGTAAATTTTCGAGGCGGGGCATTACACAACCAGCCAGCCTAAACCAATCAGCCCTGGGCCGGGCTGAAATTCAAATTTGCAATGGTCAGCTAGTAGTTATTTAATTTTTTTTTTTGTTTTCAAAATTTGTTTTAAAGATTGTAAAAATTCTTTTTTTTTCCCCCTCTAACTTCCTAAACCATTAAACATTACATAACATGAAACACATTAAACAATATTAAACACATTAAATAACATTAAACAACATAAAAATTATACAACATAAAAATAAAACATTTAACAACATGAAACTTAAACAACATTTTAAAAAACATTTAACAAAATAAAACTTAAACACTTACTCCATGCTTCTTTTGGCCCAAATATGTGCAACAAGATCCTGTTGTAGGTATTTGTTCATGGCACGGGAATGTATCATTTTATAGCGTCTCATATACTCATTTAAAGAGATACTACCGATTCTTGAATTGAAAGGCATATTAGGCCCATCACACATTTTTGCACGAGCCATTCTTGACCTATTTAGATTGTCTTGGTCATCATCAGACTCTCCATCAATATACCCATCTCGCTCATCCTCCATAATTGTGTTATGTAATATGATGCAAGACATCATGATGGAGTCCAAATTTTCTCAACTCCACTCTTTTGCCGGTTCACTGATGATCTTCCACCGTGCTTGTAGAATACCGAAAGCTCTCTCAACATCTTTCCGGTATGTCTCTTGGTGTAAGGTAAACAACTTTTCGACGTCATTCGCAGGGTTTGGAATTGCTTGGAAAAGTGTCGCCCACTTTAGGTAGATGCCATTTGCCAAGTAATATCCCACATTGTAGTAACAGTCGATGATGTAGTAGTCAAGTTGAGGTGCTTTACCTTGCGTCAGCCTATTGAAAATGGGTGAACACCCAAGAACTATAATGTCATTTTGGGATCTAGGGACTCGAAAAAAAGCATGCCAGATCCATGTGTCATACGAGCCAACCACCTCTAATACAACAGTTGGCTTTCTCGACCTTCTGCATAAGCTTCCTTGCCATCCAGTGAGACAGGTCTTCCACGGAAACCCACAGTCCTCAGCTTTGCGGTCATTAGACTGCATGATGGGATAGGTCATCAAATTTGCATGTGTCATCGCTTTGTTTTGTGGTTTGTAAGAGCGACTAGCAACAGAGCCACCCCATTGAGGTTGTTCCTTAGTTGGCTGACACACCATGGCCACAGCCATGGCTGCTACTTTATTTTGTGTGTTGTGCCATGCTTCATCTTCTTCATCAGACTCATCATCTTTTTGTCTTATATGCGCCTATTTTTCTTCCAATTTGGAATTGGATTAGGACCCCTTGTTGGAATTCATTGCAAACTTGAATTGAAATAAATTGAATTCAAAGGTGTGTGAATTATAGTCCAATATCCACCCCTATTTATAGCCCAAAAAAATTTAAATCTAACAGCTAGCTGACGTCACTTAGTTGTTGGATTTAAATTTAAGTTGTTTTTAAATAATAAATTATGTTTGGCCCTCGGTTGGAGACAGTTTTTTGTGACAAGGCTAAAACGAGCCCTATGACCTTTTTGACCCTCGGTCGGAGATAGTAAAAAATATGGCACTGCATTATTCATTAAAATATTAATTTATTGGAGAATCAGAGGACTAAAACGAACCTTCTAGCTAACCTTCAATTAAAGATGACCTAAAAAAATAACCTGATATTATTTATTAAAATATTAATTTTTGGAAGGACTATAGAGATAAATGAACCTTGACCCTCCTTCGCTTGAAGATAACCTTAGAAGGGCGGGTCCGGATCAGTGTCCGCCGACTCCCGCCTCAACAAATTTTGAGTTTGAGTTTTTAAATTCCCCTCACTCTTTCGGATTTTATTCGAAAAACCGCCCACACTTGTCCATTTCCAGATCTTCACTCAGATTTCTTCCATCACAATCTCCCAACATTTCCCAGATTCAAAAAAGGTCAGTAATCTGTTTATCCCCTAATTACGTTTTTAAATTTCAATTACTCTTGTTTTTATCATATCCGCGCATCTAGGGTTTAATCTCCAGTTGAGATTTCCTAATTTAACACTAATATGCAGCTTTTTTTTTTTTTTCAAATTTAGAGTGTTTTCGCTTTGTAATTGGCTAATTTTCTTTGTTTCGTTTGGATCAGAGGGTGGAGAATCCTTTTTTTTTTTTGGCGAGCAGAAGAACTGGGGTTTTTAGGGTTTCGAGATTTTGAAGTTGAATGCTTAATTTGGTTGGTTAGATTTCGATTTTGTTTATCCTTCTGCAATTGAATTGCACTATGAGTAGTGATAATTCGACCGATGGGTTTTACAAATCCCGACAAGTTCTCGGTGATTTGACCAACCGGCCCATAAAAAGGGGGTTTTCGATGATTTCAGCTGATTCGGGTACTAAATCTCTAAATGCAGTTGGTAAAAATGTTGATTGTGAACATAGGGGTTCAAAAGTTGCAAAGCAAGTGTTTTTAGGGGTTGAGGATTTAGTAAGAGAGAAATGCGAGAAAAAAACCGGAGTAGATTGTAACCCTGAAGCCTTATCTTCGCCAAAGGGCACTCAAGAATCTGTGTTTTCACCTACTTATAGTGACATTGATGATTCCTCGAATGACAACAGTGATTCTGTTACCTTGACGATGTCTAATGATATCGGGGAAAAGTCCAGTGACAGTGGAGCTAATGCTAGCAGTGTTTTAGAAGTCGGCGATGCATTGATGGATAATGCCTCGTCCATTGCTTCAATTTCAAAATGCTCAGGAATGTGCAAGAATGATTGTTGTGGTGGTGGGGAGAAATGTCAATACAAGAAAGTGGGACATAGTTCAGAAATTAATCAAAGCGTTCCTCTAGATGAAGGATTAGTCACTGTTGTTCATGGTAATGACGAAAAGGGTCTTGGTGTTGGTCAAGTGGCAGCAACCAAATATGGTTCTAATGAGTGGTCGATGTTGCCTAGGTCACAAAGTTGCTCGAAAGTCCATGAATTTGAGAAGTTGGAAAGATGCACGGCTCTTAAGGGTGGTGGCAGTGCTGATTTGAGTGTAGGTGATGACTTGCTCAAAGATTGCTCTTGTTCGTTTTGCTTAAAAGGTATTACAACTCTTGGTTATGTTAGTTTTTATACCTGATTGCGTGTGATATGGACGTTAAAATGTAGACTAACATAAGTTTGGTTCTTTTGGAATCTGATTATCAGCTGCTCACATCTTGTCAGACCTCCAATACCAGGATATCAAGGGTCGAATTGCTGGTGAGTTTGTGCAGAACGTGTAGGAAATGTTGCTATGGTGAAACATCTTAAGATGTCTTCGACTATTCTTTCCATTCTTCAATATTCAATATTTTACTGTTCAGTAATTCAATTTTAGCCTTTCAATTGTTGGTACGTTTGTGTAGACTGTGTGAAATGTAACTGTGGTGGGAAGAGAGATATTGTTGTTTTTCCCTTTTACTTTGAAATATTTATTGTTCATTAATTCTACATTTTATCTTTAGCACTGAAGAAGAGTAAAAGAGAAGTGAACGTATTGGTTGAGAAAAGTGTCAAGGGAAAAGAGAGTGATACCAAGGGACAACTACACCCAAACAAAGTGTCAAAACTTGAATATGATCTCTCAAGTCAGTGGAGATCACTCTTTGTTAACATGGAGGATGTGCTTGTTCATGAAAGCAACCATCTTGTGAGTATAACTTTGTTTACTATGGCCTGGCTTGCACTTTCTTTGGGAAGAAACTTTCTTATCGTTTTTATTTTTCCTAATTTGGAGAATCTTTCTTATGCTAATGATCCATAGACTTTTCACCACATCCTATTGTTGGCCATAAGGCAGTGGAGGAAAACCCAGATTTACGTGACTAATTAGTTTGGTGTATACCTGTGTTAGTGGTTCCTATAGTCAACCTAATTTTGTAAAATCATTATATTGGAGATTAATTTTTTTGTTAACTGCTGACTTTTCCTTTTGGAGGTCTTAATGTGATTAATTCTCTGGTTTCTGTTTGGCAGCAAGACAGTTATGTCACGCTAAAAAATTTGAGGGACAACTGCAAGACAGAGCTTGAAGTTACCAGTGGAATGCCTTCCGAGAAACAATAGTCTGTTTCGGGTGCCTGTGTTATTGTAAGATTGTTTGTCACTTTAGTTTGTGTCTACTTGTGCATGTGCACCCATGTATTCATGTAATGTTGTTTGGAAGACTGTTTCTTCCCTGACTTCAAAACCTAGGAAGCCTGTTTTCTTTGTCTTTCCATTTTTCTTAATAAACTGTAAACGTTCATCAAATTCGTGTAATATCATTTAGATTACTCCTTGCTTGGACGAACCTGTCATGAAGCATGATAACTTTGCCATTTTCTACCCTCGACCCTTATTTGGCTCAGAATTGTCATTTGAACAAGCCTTGGTAGTGAGTTTTCTTATTCACTGGTTTTCATTTTTTTTTTTTTTGTTGAAGTTAACTTTTTCTTATGCTTATAAATGAACGAGTGATAAAAAAAAACTGAAAGAATTTGAGAGATTCGAATATCTGTTACTGTTGGCAACGACAAAAGAAAGAGATGCTGCTATCTGTTAACAGCGTTGTCTTGTCTGCTGCAATGAAATAAATAATGATGCTATGATATTGTGAGATTGAATGCTGCCGTGTTTTCGTTTCCAAGTTGAATTGTTGATGTTTTATCAATGTTACTGAGAGTAGAAAATCATACAAGGAATTATGTTTCAGTGATATCTTTTTGTTTGCCATGATTGACAATGTTGACATTGCACTAGTTTCCGTCTTTACTCAGTAGGAAGCACAAGAGTTTCTATGATTGCTCCCCACGGCTTGTGTTGGCATAGTTTCGTTGGAAGGGCTACAACTTTTTACTATATATTTTCTTGCTTGACATGGCTTGATGCCGATAAAAGATGTTCTGCAATATGTTTAGAATTGCATTGCTGCATTTACAATTTAACATTATCGGATGTCAAGATTGTAGATGAATTGCCTTTTTGTTCAGTTATTTAAGTACTACAGTTTCAGCTGAGAGACTTTGGGGTGGAGTTTCAACTCCTCCACAACCCTATCGCTAACCAAAATCGGGAATGAGAAGAACTAGTCACTCTTATTCCGGGTTTTTCCTTTCTTGTATCAATGAATCAAAAATTACATGAGCCCTACACGAAATTGGGAATAACATTCCTAATTTGTAAGGAATATGATTCCTTCATAGCTTTCCATCCCTTGGATAGATAGAGGGGAGGGCAGAGATTTTGGTTTGCAATGTTGTCAAAGAGTTGAACAATGGTTTTTTATTCTGTCAAAGAGTTGAACAGTTAAAATAGATGGCGAGTGCCTAATCGAATTGATCGGATCATGTAGGAACAAGGTTCAGGTCTACCAGATCCTTGCTCATTCTGATCTTCTTAATCCGATTTCAAGTATGTGAACATGCATATTAGGGAATTAGTTTGACAAATTTTAAAGTCTATTTCATCAAGTGACAAATAGTCAACATATAGAACAACCAACATTATATACTTGGTAAAGTTGACACTCCTAAAGTCAACTGTGTTTTTTCTTTTGTATTTGGTGGTCAATTATACAAGTTGGTTGAAATGGTTGGTAACTATCTTCTTTTAAAACTATTTGAGCCTCACTATCTAGCCCATGAAATGTATCAAAAAGGAGAGAGCTCGTCTAATAAAAGGCTCTGATTTAGAGTGAACCAAAATACATTCTTGTGTTCCTATGCATTTGTGCACTTTTACGTTGAAACTCTCGGAGGAAAGATTGACCGTCACCACACTGGTGCATCTTTGACGGCAAATTTTCTCTCTCGTTCAGATCACCATGGTACATTTCTGGCTCCGTCGCCCTGCCAGGCACAGACCCCTTCCGAACCCTATGTCAATTGCCAAACAAACATCTTCCACGCAAAAGTCCGTCAAGAAAGACGAATGATATCATGTCTGTCTAAGACACGACCAAATTAATGGAAAACATGACCCGACCAAATCCAACACACACATGCATGAGGGACATTGAGACATGAGCGCTGCCAAACCCTCAACCCTAAACCAAAAAACTATACAAAAAAAATTAGTACAAATGTCTGGAAAGGTTAGCATACAAACAACAGAGTGAACAAAATGTAAACAGAGAGGGATGTGCGGATGCAATGAATCTGTCCTCATACATTATACGTGGAGATTCCATGGCAGATGGAGCCTTCCGTCGATCCTCCTTTCAATTCTTACTCATCTTCACGTCTATCATCAGAGTTAAGTTTAATGAGTGATGTTAGCGAGATTATATTTTAATAAATTACATTGTAACAAATAAAGGTATGACTGACCACTTCTATTTGAGAAGTGCTACAATGCCGTCTATTAAATGTAATTTCATCTTTATTCAGATTTGAAATCTCTTACTTATAAGTAAAGATGAATATCACTAAATAGTAACACTAAGTCGGAGATCAATTTGTTTGTTAGATATGACCCAATATTGCATATATACCTTTTTGTTTTTCACAAATAAGTCTGCACCCTTTTATAATTAATAGAAGAAAAAGAGTACAACTTTAGAGACAAGACTAGGAGAGAGTAAAACTTCCAATGCAACTAGAAGTGCATGTGTATTGGGAGAATTGGATCCACTCTGAACCTTAGTGTCTAGAGCTTAGGGATCCCAAAATTTAGGTCTTTGATTTGTGTGAAAAAGAAATCAAAGTCATTAGTTTGTGTGAGATGGGACATCGAAATAAGTTAATAGGAACTGTCGGATTCAATTTGTGTGGCCCAAATTTGTGAATCCCTGAGCTCCAAACACTAAGGTCTAGACTGGATCCAATTCTGTGTATTGTGTAAATCCAAAGTGAAATCCACGAAGGCAACAACGTCTGACCACGTCAAAGCAGGCCCTTAGATTCATTTGAGTAGGTCCCATTCGGTGCCATTAGGCCTGGCAATTTCTGACACGACTCGATAACCCGACACGACACGACATGAAATTAACAGGTATTTGGGTTGACACGATAATGAATCGGGTCGTTATCGGGTAACCCGATAAGCACCTGTTAAGATAACGGGTTGGTTCGGGTATACACGTGGGTGACACGATACACGATAAGCAGAATATTATTTTTATAATTTTATAACCCTAAAAAAATACTATAATAATTATATACATTAATTTTACAATTTTATACCCCTAAAAATTATAATATATATATATATATATATTAAATTAACTATAAAATTTATAATAATTATATATACTATAATAATTATACCCCCAAAATATTAAGTCTATCTATAATAATTATATATATATATATATTAAATTTTATAAAAACTATAATAATTATGAATTAATAATTTAATATGCATGATGCATTGCATGATTTTGCATCCATTGAAATTTGATGTGATATCTTTCCATTTAAATTTCAATAATCAATTTCTTGTCGTTGCCAACTTGCCATCCTTTTTGAAAAAAAAAATGGAGGGAAAATGAAAATGTTAAGAAAAGTTGAAAATGAAACAAAAAAGTTGAGGGAATTAGGGAAAGATGTTGGAGGGAAAAGTGAAAATGATAAGAAAAAGTTGAAAAGGAAACAAAAAAGAGAGGGAAAAATGAAAATTAATAGAAGTGGTGAGAATTTTTTTTTTTTTTAAGTTATTAACTTTTTATCACACACATGACTGTTATGACATATTTCACTATTTTTATAATGACACACGTGACACGTGATGTATGTATTATTCCGTGTACCAGTCAATTATAATTTATACGTACAAAATAAATAGATTTAAATCTACTTAATAAATATATACACACACACACACACGGAACTTGATTGATGGCATACGAATTCTCCAAAACTAATTTCAACGATCCAAACCGTCAAAATTGTTTGTATATGCTTGGAGATCACATCAGCAAAAAATCACAAAAAAAACAACATTCAGAGATCAAGTAACGGGACAAAGTTTATCAATGGTTATAAACGAAAAATCACGATTTAACGGTTATTTTAACTCCGATTTTGATGATTTTTTATAACTACACTCCTTGACCCTATATGAATACAATGAATGAATTCGATCTTCAATTTAAAATATTTATACAAGTGGATACCACAAAATCTTATGTTATACTTAATGAAAGTATAAATAAACTCTAAGTGTTAGTCAATCTATCGTTTTACGAATTCTCCAAAACTAATTTCAACGATCCAAACCATCAAAATTGTTTGTATATGCTTGGAGATCACATCAGCAAAAAATCACAAAAAAAAAAAAAACATTCAGAGATCAAGTAACGGGACAAAGCTTTTCAACGGTTATAAACGAAAAATCACGATTTAACGGTTATTTTAACTCCGATTTTGATGATTTTTTATAACTACACTCCTTGACCCTATATGAATACAATGAATGAATTCGATTTTCAATTTAAAATATTTACACAAGTGGATACCGCAAAATCTTATGTTATACTTAATGAAAGTATAAATAAACTCTAAGTGTTAGTCGATCTATTGTTTTACGAATTCTCCAAAACTAATTTCAACGATTCAAACCATCAAAATTGTTTGTATATGCTTGGAGATCACATCAGCAAAAAATCACAAAAAAAAACATTTAGAGATCAAGTAACGGGACAAAGCTTTTCAACGGTTATAAACGAAAAATCACGATTTAACGGTTATTTTAACTCCGATTTTGATGATTTTTTATAACTACACTCCTTGTCCCTATATGAATACAATGAATGAATTCGATCTTCAATTTAAAATATTTACACAAGTGGATACCACAAAATCTTATGTTATACTTAATGAAAATATAAATAAACTCTAAGTGTTAGTCAATCTATTGTTTTACGAATTCTCCAAAACTAATTTCAACGATCCAAACCGTCAAAATTGTTTGTATATGCTTGGAGATCACATCAGCAAAAAATCACAAAAAAAAAACATTCAGAGATCAAGTAACGGGACAAAGCTTTTCGACGGTTATAAACGAAAAATCAAGATTTAACGGTTATTTTAACTCTGATTTTGATGAATTTTTACAGCTACACTCCTTAACCCTATATGAATACAAAGAATGAATTTGATCTTCAATTTAAAATATTTACACTAGTGGATGTGGATATCACAAAATCTTATGTTATAATTTATATACTTAATAAAAGTATGAATCAACTATAATATTAATAATTATATACATTAATTTAATAATTTTATATCCCTAAAAAGTAAAAACTATAATAATTATATAGATGTAGGTGTAAATTGAATACAATTTCATTATGATCGATGTAAATTG